CTCATTGGGACATCCTGTAGTCAGCATGTCCAAAAGAAAATTCCTCTTTCCACACAACATATCCCTCTTCTGAACTCCCCCATTGTGGCTGAGGGTGCTGCCATCTTTTCAGGCCAGTGGTCGACCGCTTTGCCACTGCGAACTTCTTTCTTTCCCTCTTCCCACAAGCCAGTCAATCACCGGAGCTCGTTTTTGCCTCCACAGCATCTCTCACGTGTCTCGCCCCCCTCTCCTGTCTCAGGCTCTCCACTGTGCCTTGGCTGATCCATTGCAATAGCCTCCTACTTGCTCTCACTGCCTCCACCCTAACCCCACCCCAATCCACCCCCTCTACTCAGAGGCCAAAAGGGTTTTCTAAAGTTCAGATCTGATTCCTTGCCCTGCTGCCTCTGACACCTTCTAGGGAAAATCCAACCAGCCTCTATTACCTGGAGGACCAAATAGAAGCTCTCCTTGTCATTGAGATTTCTCCACAGTCTGTCTCCAGCCCACCTCTTCTGTCTTCTCAAGTTTCCCCTTCACCTGCTCTTTGGTTGATCCAGTCATATTGTCCGGCTTGTTGCTTCTCAGATATGATACGTCATCTCCCACCTCCCTACCATTGTATTGGCTGTCCCTGGTCCTTTCTCCCCACTTGCTCCTTTTCTAATGAGAAGTTTCCGGACTCAGCTTATGCACCCCCTTCCATATGGAGACTTTCCATTCCACTACCTCAGTTCCTAGTGGCCTCACTCCCCAAACTTAGTCTTTTTCTACATAGCATCCATCCATCCATCCATCCATCCATCCATCCATCCATCCATCCATCCATCCTATCATATACATATACATATATTTATATATGTATATATATATATATATACATATATAAATATATGTATACTTTCATCTCTCTCTCCTTTCCTGTTTCCCTCCCTCCCTTCCACTCTCTCCTGGAAGGCAGGGACCGTTTTAGATTTCTAGCCCAGCACATGACACATAGTAGGAACTTAATGAATGTTTATCGATTGAGTGATGTGCATGTGGGCCTCAAGCTTCTGCTGCACCTTTAACCCTTGCCGGTTCATTCCCATTAGAAGTAGGATGGATGCTCAGGGTGTTCAAAAGCTACAGAAGCAGCACCAGACCATATGTAGACCGTTCTGCTTGTTTGTTGCACAAATCAGGGGAATTGGTGAAAGAAGCCTATGACTGGTGGGGAGGGAGACAATGATGATGTGTATGTGGGGGATGGGCTGGCCCTTGGGGAGGTTACCTTTCCATTCTGCCTCATCCTTTGCTGCCTGATCCTTAGGGTTTTGCTGCTTCCATCTGGCCCTCCAATCTCCTTCTAACTCAGGGCTTGCTATGGACTTGTGAGCCACTAGAATGCAGAGACAAGGGCTAGGCATCCCACTGATTACATTGTCTTCTCCAGACTCGGTGCTTCCAAAGTGTCTGCTCGGTGGACTTGACTCAAGCTGGGCTGTCCAGGCACCGTTCTTTCCCTCCTTTCCAATGCTGTCGCTCTTCCTCACTCTTGTCCAACAACTCTCTTCTAACTTAACCTGAGCTTCATCCAGATGACTGACTTGGAAGAACAGTTCTTTCAGGCCTTTCCGAATGACTTTGGGTCAGCTACCCATTGTATTTCCTCCCATCTTATTGGATTTACGATTGCGTTGGAGTTAAATGATGTGCGCTTGACTCTTCACTCTCCCACTTATTTCTGTGATCGAGGGAAGTCATGTAGTCAGTCAACACTAAGCACCTGCTATGTGTCAGCCACTGTTCTCAGTTCTGGAGTACGTATATGAAAGACAGTCGCTGCTCTCAAGGAGCTTACAATCTACTGGGGAAGACAGAACAGAACAGGAGCACACCTAGAACCTCTCTTGGCCTTCCTTTCCTCCTCTGTAACACGAAGAGATGGACTTCTTTTTCCCTGGATCTTCCCACATGTCACCCGTTCCCAGAGGGACCTTTAGGTGCCATGTGCTGCTGTTCTGGACTCCTGGGGGCCACCATCCCACAGAACGTATCAGAGCATCATTCAAAGTGTCTAGACCCAATTGTGGCCCTACAGTGCCACAGATTCATTAGGAGATGTAGAGAGGGATGTGGAGCACAGGGTCTAGAGCCTCCAGAATTAGCACACATACACATGCGCACGTGTGCACACACACACACACACACACACACACACACACACACACACACATGCACACATCTTGGGAAGGCCCAGATGCTTCTCTGGCTTATTGCCATAATTCTCTGACTCAATCTTGACTTTTGTACCAGATGGATTTTCAGGTGCCTGGCAATATGTATTCAAGCTGGAGAAAAAAAAATAATAAAAAAATTTCTCTGTGGACTTAAAAACTCTGATATCTTTTTACTTCTGCATCACATTTATTTTAAAATGTATCCTCTCATTGTCCCAAACACAATGAAACATCCTTTATATCCACGTTAACTTTTAGAAAAACTTTTATTCACACCATGAAATAAAGTGGGGTCTGCAAGGAGATTGCCAGTGTGTTCTGATTCCATTGAAATCTGTCATTCCCTTCTTTTTCTCTGCTTATCAAAAATTTAAAAACTTTCACCTATGTTTATCTGGCAAAGTCAGAACATATTTTGCCATGTATCTAGTGGATTAACTGCCAGAGCTTTGCATATGAGATGATTTTTTTTCAAAGTGAAAGAGTTGGTCATGGTGACCTCCCTTCCGCCCCTCAGTCTCTGAGTCAGTAACCTGCTGCCATAGTTCGATCTCTCTGTCCATCACTGATGGGGTTCAGACCCACTATTACCCCAGGGAGGGTTTGTAGTAATTGGCAGGTGAGTTCTACCATCAATGTCTGATACCTCTGACAGCATCTCAGAGTGCCCCAAGCTGTGTAGGATGCTTGAGGTTGACAGATATGTATAATTGACAACAGGAAAGAAAGGAAGGAGAGAGCAGGGAAGAGGGGGAAGCCTGTGTGTGTATGTGGGAGGTTGGGGGATCTGGGGTATGTGCTTTGAAAACAAAGGACATTTCTTTAAAACATAAAGTTGTCTCTTAAGGATTTCTAAATGTTACTATTTGGGCATCTTGGACATTTTCAAATCTGAGATTGACTTGACTTCCTGCATCTGTGACATTTAGAGGAAATTTTCACTTGGTGTAGAATCTGCTTAGAATATGAAAACAGCCATTTCTTATATAATGTCTGGCCTTTCAACTTTGTCTTTATAAACTTTACACATATACATATATGTACAAATACACATGCATTCTCACACACATGTACAAATACACATCTGTATACACACATAATTCATACACGTGTATTTACACTCACACATATATGCATGCGTACACACAAGCATACACTTATACACACAAACACATTCATATGCACACACCACACACATATACCTGCACACATCAGCCACATACATATATCCACATACCGATATATACACATATACACATGCACACATGCATGCTCATATGTACATGCACACACGATACATGCAAACACTACTTGTATATGTGTGTGTTTAAGTATATGTGTATGTATATATACATATATGTATTTGTATACACACATACAAATATACATATGTATATATATGTGCACATATATCTATACCTATCTATCTGTATCTTTTTATTTATCTATATGGAACTAGACCTGTGATTTCCTATAGCAAACTCTGTAGATGATGAAGCTCCCTTGGCCAGTGTGGGTTGGCACCTTCTCTGCCTCCTGTAGGCTTAGAAAGTTGCCAAGTTATATTTATTTGAGGCAAGGAAAATGATCCCTGCATATCCTCTGAGCTAGCTGGAATCTGACCCGGTTCATTAGAGCTGACTCGTCTTAATTCTCTGAGAGATATGCTCATGATATCAAGAGAGGCCTGGCTTTAAATGCTGTCTGTGACACTTTCTGGTTGTGTGACCAAGGCAGCATCCTTTATCTCTCTGAGTCTCAGTTTCTGTATCTGCAAAATGGGGATGATCATGCCTGTAGCTTGTACCTCACAGAGTCATGGTGAGGTTCATGGGAAATGGTGGCTGCCAGGTGCTTTGCGGCCCCCAACACTACAGGTCAATATCAGCCATTGTCATTATTGGGCTTACTGTTATACCATGTAGTGAAACAGCTGAGAAGAGGGTTCCAAGCAGTGGAAAAGAGGAGAGGAGTGATGTTACCAAGGGCAAATGGCAAAGGCCAGGTCCTTGAGCCCAGAATTTTCTTTCCCTCTACAATGTTTCATTTTTGTTTTGTTAATTCTTAGAGTCTAATAAGCGCTCACCGGCTGGCTAACAGGGACAATGGAGAGCAAAGGGTCTCGGCCCACCCCGAGGTGGTGCCCCAGGCCCCCCGAGGTGTTTTCTTGGTGCAGGTCACACTGCTAGCTCTCACAAGATGCTCTTTCTAACACATTTCCTTCTTTGTCACTTCCTCTGCCCTGGTGATGACTTTGGGATTAGGGAGAGGTCCATACTGGAAGGGCAGGGGCTTCCCGGAACCAAAGCCATGTGTGGGATGTTGCTTTCCCATTGATGTTTGGGTGCCCCCATGGTTGGGGAGGGGGAATTGGAGAAGGAAGGCTGGAGCTGGTGACTTGGGGGTCTATGACGCTGCTGAGGGCAGGGGCCAATGTGTCTATATCTCTGGTAAATCCCTTCCTTAAGAGAAGGCCATTGATGACAGTCTGTGACATTCACTGACGAAGTGGGAAGAGTCCTAACTCAAGTCCAAGGTGGTAGTTGAATCCCAGCTTATCCTCTTAGTGCCTGAGTGACTGCGGGCAAGTCATTGCCCCTTCATGGGTCTCAGTTCCTTCATGCGTAAAGTGAGGAGGTTAGACTGGTGGTCTCTGGGGAAGGAAGCTCCTGTGCTAGATGAAGATGCTGATCACCTGCCATCACTAATCAAGGATTGTGGGGGTTGCTTCCTAGGCATGACCTTGGACCACAGCAAGCCCTCATAACATATGCCATCTGTTTCTCTCTCCAATAGTGTGCCGGGACTTTGCCGTGTTAGAGGACCATACGCTGGCACACAATCTCCAGGAGCAAGAAAGTGAGTTGGGGCCCAGGCCACCTTCTGTCTTTGTAGCCTTCGACCAGTCACACTTCCAGAAGCTGCCCCCGAGAGGCAGCAGATGGGTCCCCGGAAGACTCGTCTGGCCAGCTAGTCCTTGGCGAGGAGAAATACGATGCTAATGATTGGGAGCAAAGACAGCTTCTTGGACCTAGGGGGGTGTTGTGGGAGGAATCGGTGGGCAAGAAGAAAGGCAGCTGGAACACCTCCTTCTGGGCCTTGGGCTGTGAGCACAGGGGCTGTAAAGATGGGCTGGGGCAGGGGCGCACAAAGTTTTGGGGGAGGCCTCTGCCCCCTGCCCAGAGCAGGGCTGATGGGCTTCTTACTGAGGAGATGAGCTTTATCCTCATTCTCCTTTTTCTGTCTACTGGGCTTTTGTGTACACATGTGTGTATGTGTGTGTATTTTGTATGTTTGTTTGTATGTATGTATATGTATGTGTGTGATTCGAGGAAGAATCCGACTCAAATGCAGCGGTGTCTCATAGCCTAAACAGCTTACTCTAATCTGCCGTTGTTCCTCGCTTTGTTTGAAACATGACATCTTGTATGTGAATAGAGGAGAGAGCGGGCATTGTGCTGAATGGGCAGAGGCCGCTTCCTCCCCGGGGGCGTCCCACAGCAGTGAAATCCGAGGTCCAGTCCAAATTAAAAATACAAACGCCACAGGAGAGCAGAGCTGCCTCGGCAGCTGAGGGTGGGTGGGACCTCGCCGAACCTTGACATCTCTCTGTCTTCTTTCAGTTGAACACCACTTGGCATCCAACGTGCAGCGAAACCGCCTGGTTCAGTACGATCTTCAGGTGGCCAAGCAGCTGCAGGAAGAGGAGGACCTGAAGGCCCGTGCTCACATCCAGAAACGCTACAAAGACATGTGAGTCAGGTCCCCGGGACCTGCAGACGCTGACCTTTGCCCTATCCCCAGGCCCCTCCCATCCATCTGGCTGCTGTCTTAGGGTCCCATTCCTAAGAGTAAAAATAACAGAAATGACTGACTCCATAGCACTTAGATATTTGTGAAGTGCTGTATACGTATACACACAGACACACAAAGACACACACACGTGCACACACACACTCGCTCACACACACACACACACACACACACACACACACACACACACACATGCACGCACACATACATTCTCTCAGTTAAGCATCACAACAACCCCATGAGGTGAGTAGCTCAAGGTATTATCCCATTTTACAGAGACCAGCTCCTATATGTCGGGGGCTGCACTGGAGCCTAGGCTTTCCTGGATATATAGGATCCTGGAATGTCAGAACTGAGAGGGAACTTCAGAGACCCCTTCCAATTCACCCCTCCCCCCATTTTACAGAACTCTGAGCCTAGAAAGGACCAACAGGATGAGTGTGGACTGGAGTTCTTTGCTGCCACCTTGACCTTGTCCAGACCCATACCTCAGGGGTATCTTAGAATCAGAACCACAGAATTGGATGAGCATTCAGTAGCCATTGAGTCCAGAGTTTACCTATGTAAGAATGCTTTGGACACAATGCCAGAGAAGTTGTCCAGCCCCAGCTTGAAGATCTCCAAAGATGGCGAGCTCACTACCTCTCTTTGGGACATCTCTCATTGTTAGGAAGCTTTCTCCTACATCACATCTGTATTTGTCTCTTTGTAACTTGCACCTGTTGACTCAGATGGTTGGTGTTGGGAGGAAATTGAGGACTCCTGTAAGCCAACCCATTTTAGAGATAAAGAAAGCAAAATTTCAAGCATTTGTAAGTTACTTATTCAAGGTCCCATAGTGAGTGAGTGTATGAGCCAAGGGGATTTCCCCTATTCTGCACATGGGTTCAGGTTCAGAGATCCGGCACTGGGGATGCTTTGCCTTGTGCACAACAGTCCTCTAAATATGCGTTGACTAGAAGGCGTAGAGGACATTTTAACTGTCTTCTAGATTTTGAAGGGTTAATATGTGGGAGAGGGATCGGATTGGTTTATTTGGCTCCACAAGAAAGGACCAGGAGCTTTAGGCAGAACCAGCAGAGCAGCAAAGTGAACTTGATTCAGCAGGGGCAGAAATCACGACCAAACCCAACGCAGAATGGTGCCCCAGTGGCTCCTGCTCTGCCTTGGCAGGGACTGGGCTCCTTCCCATCTGAAGGCTTCCAGAAGAGGCTCCGTAACCTCATGTTGTTGCGGGGATTCTCTTTCCCAAGAAGTTGGGAGCAGTAGCCACTGACATGCCTTCTGACTCGGGGAATCATGGGAAGACAACACTGTTGACCATGAACAACTTGGAAATAGCCTTGCTGGGCTAGTCAGGCGCTCGAATCATGTGGCAGTGTGATTTTTCTTTTTTAGAAGAGGAGAAAAGAGCACCGGCCCTGAAGTCAGGAAGACCTGGGTTCAAATCCAGCCTCAGACCAAACACTTGACACTTGCTAGCTGTGTGACCCTAGGCAAGTCACTTAACCCCAATTGCCTAAAATAAAATAAAATACAATAAAAATTAAAAGAAGAGGAAAAAAGAGCATCAACCCTCAGTCTCCAGCGAGGGTGCTCATTGTCACTCATCTCCTTAGATTGAATAGGAGACAGATTTGTGAAAGAACATGTCCTTATTTAAGTGGAATTTGTTGGGACTTCTAAAAACAATTCAATGAAGAAAATCAAATTGGAGGTTGAATTAGTTGGAGAAATTATCTAGCTAACTCACCTTCAGAGCACTGGAGGGTGGCTCAGTGGAGGCTTCCTCCTTCTCCCAAGGTCTGTTCTACTCATCTGCTCTCAAGTTTGCATGAAACCCAACTAACTTCTGGTCTTTCTAAATATGATAGTTGTCACTCAGTCCCTGGAGTATTTTGTCTCTTCTGGGACATGGGTAGGAACTGTAGTCATTCAGAACATGTGGGTCAGTATGCTGGTACAGCTGGGGCCTGCAATGGACATCAGCCCTTCCCTTTTCCCTCCGGGAAGGCCGCCACACCCAGCCAGCACCCAGCCCATGTTCGTGCAAGCCTATGCGAGGGTACATAGAAGCCAATTCAGAGCAGCTGGGACATGAACAAGGTCCAAATCCAGAGGGTTTGTTTTCAACAGCCAAATTCCGGAGGCCAGCTGTCCAGGCCTCGCCCGGCGCCATATCTCTCCTTGCCGGAGGGGTGAGAGCAGTCCATTGCTTGTAAGCAAATTCACCAAACAGCGGCAGGGGCTGCATGCAGAATGACAGAAAGTTGTCAGTTTTTCTGCGTCAGGTTAAAAAAATGAGTTGGCTATAATCTCCTTTAGAACAGAAATGAGGTGTTTTCTGCTTGGCTCCAAAGGCCAGGGGTAGGAGCAGTAGGGAAGAGGGAAGGAGGAAAGAAAAATTCTAACAATTCAAGCCATCCCAGAGAGCAATGGGCTGCCTCAGGAGGGCTGGCTTCCCCTCCCTGGAGTCTCCATTCATGGCTGGATGGCCGCTTGTCAGGGAGACATTTTCAGGTATTTCATTTCTTAGGGTCCTAGCTTGAGAACCTGAAGGGCCTTTAAAGGACATCTGAGCCAACTTTCTGATTTTACAGATGAGGAAACTGAGGCTTAGCTTGTTTAAGTGACTTCCCCAAGGTCACCAAGTGGTAACTGTGAGAGGCTGGTTTGAAGCCGTATCCTCTCCTGGCTTCTTGGGTCCCTTTGGTTCTAACACTGGGGTGCAGTAATTCTGTCAAGTAAAACGGGGACACCCCCTGGTTGATTTAGGCAGTGGATGCATGTATCGACTCAGTCCTCGAGTCATCAGCCCCTGGCTTCTTGAACGCTGTGATAGAATCGCCTTGTCTTGGCATTCGATCCCTCCTGCCCAAATCTGACACCAAGCTACTGCCACTTCAGCTTCGCATGTGTGTGTGTGTGTGTGTGTGTGTGTGTGTGGTCTTGCTGTGCTGACCACTGACCATTTCCCCATCTCCTCCTGGCTGCCTTTGGTGATGCTCTCAGAGAAAGCTCCAGAGCAGGTACCTGTCCGGATCCCTGGAGGGAGTCTGCACTCTATAAGAATGACATCATGAGTTACAAGGCTCCAGGTGTCACTCTAGGTCTCCTCTCTGAAGCCTTCTCCACTTCCCCTCCTGCCCTCCCCCCTTAGATCAATGACCTTCCAAAGCTCCCTATTGCCCATAGAATAAAGCACAGACGTCCTTTTGTGGCTCTCAGTACCCACCACAATTTGGCTTCATACTCTTTCCAGCCCTATTTCCTGTCGCTCACCTTTGTGCCGGGGTGAGGAGTCTGCTTGTGGCCTTTTGCTGCCACCTGCCTCTGCTCCGCTTCTCTGCAGGCTGCTCTCAGGCCTGGTCTCCCTCCACCTTGCTCCCTCGCTCTCCCCTTGTGTCTTCCTGCCTTGGTTTGGCTCAGTTTTCCCTTTGGCTCCTTCACCACCTGCCTAGTATTTCTCTTGTGTCTTTACTTGCCTTCTCCTCCTCCTCCCCTGTGGGGGTACAAGAATGGCAGCTCCCTGAGGGCAGGCCTGGGTCCCTTTGTGTTGCTGTCCCCAGCACACTTTGTTTCAGGTTTTGGTCCAGACTCATGATGTCATTCTCATAGAGTGCACACTCCCTCCAGGAATGCAGACAGGCACCTGCTCTGGAGCTTTATCTGAGAGGGTGCCAGTGTGGGCCAGGGGCAGGGGTGGAAGGCAGACCCCTGGCCCACCATGCACCCTGTCCTACACACCTTCCCCATAAGGAGGCATTTCTCAAATCTTCAGATCCGATTCAATGAGAACCCAACATACAGACATGCAGGTAGCTGTGATTTCATCTGGTCACTGAGCAGGAGCCCCTGGATAGAGGCCACTGCTTCTAGTGGCGGGAAGCGTCTGCTGTCAGCCCACCTGGGAGCTCGGGCTATGCCAGCTGCCAGCGGATCTGCCGACCGCTCAGCAGTGCCCTTGGCTTTCCTTCCTCAGGATGCTCAGGCTTAGCTCCCTCCTGCCACTGTGACAAATGTGAGTTCTTAGAAATAGCCGTGGGTGGGGCAGGGAGGGAAACAGAGGAAGGAAGCTCATTGGCCCCGGCCTGACTCTTCTCTCTCCTGTGTCCACTCTGGCACTTTTCCTGTGGCTGAGATGCCACAGCACCAGGGAGGTTGGGCATCTCCCTGCCTCATCCCATGGCTTGGTTCTTCCCCCCACCCCCTTGGGTGACCCCCGAGCCAGCCAGCTGGCACCCCAGGATAGAGGGGCAGCCTTGGAGTCACGGAGGTCTAGGTTCCATTCCCACTTCACCTACTTGTAAGCTGTGTTACCCTGGGCAAGTCACCTAACGCCACTCAGCCTTGGTTTCCTTATCTGTAAAATGGGGGTAACATCATAGGATCGCCGCGGGTCCTGAGGAGACGATATTTGTAAAGTGTTTATAAAACCTTGCATGCTTTCTGAACGTGAGGCGGCCCTAACCACTGAGACCCCTCTGTGCACATAGCCATTTGGAGCTGTTTGGAAAGCAGCAGCATTTCTTGAGAAATCCTTTCCCTTAAGTGGGAGGTCAGTGACAGGAGCTCTGGCAGTCATGACCAGAAACGGTAGAAAAGAACTGGGGCTTCGCTCCTCCCGTGTGGATTCTGCATTCCTTGGTTTGCACGGAGTCCCAGAGTCCTTACGATCTTGTGAAGGAGGCTGTGTGACCCTGTGCAAGTCGTGGAACCTGTCTGCCTCAGTTTCCTCATCTGCAAAATGGGGATGATACCAGCACCGACCCCTCAGGGTTGTTGTGAGGGCCGACAAGATCCTCTTTGTAAAGCCCTTAGCACCATGCCTGGTGCATAGTGGGACCGTGTCACTGCTTATCCCCTCCTTCCCTTGCCCATCCTGAGAACCCCAGCGCTGGGGCTCGATCACTAATGCCTGGTTGGTAAAGACCTGGGGGCCCCTGGAAGACAAGGCTTGCTGCTGCCCACCTGAGCAGAGAGAGGGCGAAGGGCCCAGAGGGCAGGCACCTTCTGAGCTTCCTGGGTAACATGGCTTTGTCTCTTGGGCATCTCAGAGAGCAGCAGGACTGTGAAATCGCTCAGGAAATCCAAGTGAAGCTGGTCATTGAGGCGGAACGCAGGCGCCGTCAGGAGGAGAAGGATGAGGTACTGGGGGTGCTTGGGGGCTGGAGGGTGGCTTCTGGGAGGGCCCATGACCTCTGGGAGGGCTGATGACCTCTGGGAAGGCCAATGACCTCTGGGAGTGCCAATGATCTCTGGGAGGGCTGCTGGCTTCTGGGAGCACCTATGACCTCTGGAAGGGCTGATGAACTCTGGGAGGGCTGCTGAACTCTTTGAGGGTCAATGACCTCTAGGAGGGCTGCTGGCTTCTTGGAGCGCCAGTGACCTCTGGGAGGGCTGCTGGCTTCTGGGAGTGCCAGTGACTTCTGGGAGCGCTGATGACCTCTGGGAGGGCTAATGGCTTCTGCTGTTACACTGTCAAATGGAAAGGTGATCAAAGGGTCATCATCCTCTTGTAATTTGGGAGGAGCCATCAAGAAGCTGGCCCTGCATGGGTTAGAGAAATGAAACTGAGGGATGTGATGGCGGGCTCCCAGGGCTGAGGTCGTTTTAGGTTCTGCTCTTTGTGGCACACTGGGTGCCTGTGACTCGCTCTTGGGGGCATGGAGGGAAGTTGCTGACCAAGGCGAGGCCTGGGGGGGTGTGACCCCGATATCTCCTCTCCCTCTCACTGCTCCCATCCTTAAGAAGCAGAGGCGGGCAGTCAGGTTCGGATCCCTGGTTGTTCAGGGGTTGCTGGGGTGTTGGAAATATTAAATGACCTTAGAGAGATGAGATCTGACCCTGGGCTGTGGAGAGGGCTCGACCTGGCAGGCAGCAGCGTCCTTTTCTGTCGTGCTCAGGCAGCTCTGTCCAAGCAAGGGCCCTGTGCCTGTCTGCAGCCTGGCCTTGCCTACAGAGCCAGCCAGGAGCACTTCCTTCCTCCCCACCCCCTTCTCCCCCCAGGGAGAGAGAGGTTGGGAATCCTGATCTGGAGCTACAAGGGATCTTGGAGGCCCTCAAGTGCACGCCCCTTATTTTACAGGGGAGGAAACTGAGTCCCAAAGAAATGAAGGGACTCGGCCAAGGGCATACAGGTAGTAAGTGACTGAGGGAGCATTTGGGCTCAGGGCTTTTCCGCTATGCCACCTGAGAAAGCTAATCAGATGAATCATATTGCAGAAGAGAAGAGAAATCTGGGGCCTCCCATTTCAAACACAGCAACATTCTGGAAAAGGGGTCCTCCAGTCATTGTATGAGTACTTCTGTTACTAGGGCAGCTGGGTGGCTCAGTGGATAGTGCACTGGGCCTGGAGTTTAAAAAGACCTGAGTTCAAATCCTACCTCCGATGCTTATTAGCTCTGTGACCCTGGGTAAGTCTGTTCACCTCTGTCTGCTTCAGTTTCTTTACCTGCAAGATGGGGGTGATAATAATACCCACCTCCTAGGGCTCTTGTGAGGACACAACGAGACATTTGTAAAGTGCCTTGCAAAATCTTAAAGCCCTATAATAATTCTATAATAATAAATATTATTATTATTGATGGTGGTGTTGTGACTCCCTCACTGGGCATTGCCACCCACTTTCCTGAGGATATCTGAGCAAGTGGAAGCCTGCCTCCCTTCCTCTTCTTCACTGCCCCTCCCTCCACCCCCAGTGCAGGTGGGGCACCTGTGGCTTCCCATCAGCTCTCCCCTCCAAAGATCCATTTAGCTCCTTGTGCTGCATCCAGCCCACTGTCCAGCAGCTGGCGGGACAACCCTGGCTTTGGGTTTTAGGAACCTTTGTTTTTTCCCCAGAGAAATCAGCCAGGTCATTTATGCACCAGGTTACTGGAAGGCGCTCCTTCAGATGCCATAAATTATTGCCGCTCCTTCCCGGTATCAGTACGGGGCATCTTTCTGCGGAAGGAAGCGCGGCCTTCCTACTGCGGGGATTTCAGCCTGGCTCTCAGCCTGGCAGTGAAAGACGTGGTTGTATTTGGGAGAAAGGAAGGCCAGTCATTAAAAGCATCAGCGGGAGGAGCCAGGTCTCCATCAATGTGCCCAATGTCCCAGTGACAGGAGGGCGAGCGGTCGGGGGTTGGGGTATTATTTCAGCAGGAAGAGAACGGGAAAAAATAACACGTACTTTCCATTTTGGGGGTGCCTTCCTGGGGGAGCTGCATCTGCTGGCAGCATCTCAACTGGGCTGGTTCAATCTGTGGTGGGAGATGTGAGCTGACGCTGAATGGGGGAGCAGGAAGCCCACTTGGCAGCTGTCTCAAAATAAGCTGGGACTTCATGCCCACCACAGGCTCTACTTCCTGCCAAACATTTCCCCATGCTCATGTCATCCACTCCAAGATGTAATGAAGTACCGGCTCAAACCCCAAACTCACCTATCTATTTCCCTCCATCAACCCCATTTCCCCTCCATTCCCACATCAGTGCCCCTCCCCCAGCAGTCCCTCTCTCCCCTGTCAGTTCCTCTCCCCTACCAGTCCTGCTCCCTCCTCAATCCCCACTTCCCTAATCCCCCTCCTTTTTCTGGTTTACATGAGGAACTTGGCTCTGAGGGAGTTTGTTTGGATCAGTCTGTATCTGTGGCCCTGCAAACTCTTTGGTCTCAGGGGCAGGATTTGAACTCAGGTCCTCTGACTCGAGAGCCAGAGCTCTTTCTAGGCTGATACAGTAATGTAGATGAGCATCGGGGCTTATGGCAGGAGAGAAGAAGAGAAATGAGTATGAGAGGATTTAAGAGATGGAATTAAAAAAAGGGGAAAAAAGCAAACACTTACGTCCTGCCTTCAAGTTTGCAGAACGTTTGACATCTGTTATCTCATTTGGCATCGCAGTCATTCAGTGAGGTTGGTTCTATTAGTATCCTCATTTTATAGCTGAAGAAACTAAGGCAGACAGAGGTTAAGTACCTCATCCAGCTAGGTAAGTAACTGAGGCAGGATTTGAACCCAGATCTAATTGGCTCCAAGTTCATCGTTCTACCCCACTGTGTCACCACATGTCTCTAAAACTTGGCGACTGATTGGCATATGGGAGAGTAAGGGGACGGGGGGGCCAGATCATCCTGAGGGACTGGGAATGGTGGTGACCTTCCTGTTGCAATTTAACCCCATACAGTAACCTAGAGAGAGGAATCCATCGAAGTCCCGCCTTGCACTTCCCTTCTTTCCCCACTCCCCCTCCCCATTAGATGGTCTGCACAAGGATCGTTTTTACTCCCGTTTTACAGGTGGGGAAACTGAGGTTCACAGATGTCCTAGGAGTCTGACTTTGTTACTGGAAGGACTCTAAGCAGCCACTCATCCTTACCCCCTAATTTTACAGAGGAGGAAACTGAGTCCAGGGGAGTAGCAAGTGGCAGATTCAGAATCTGACCCCAGATCCACTGATCTTTGCCCCCACCCCGGGCCGGTGATGGGCCTGCCACACCAACAGAAGTGTCAGGGACAAGGCCCCCCACTCCAGCAGGCTTCCCACTGTCCCATGTGCCTCACTCCTCCCTCCTGCCTTGGACTGTCTGAGTGCTGGGGAGCTGCTCTTGCCACCTTTTAAGGTCAGCAGCCAAGTCAGTCAACAAGCATTTATTAGGTGCTTACTGTATACCAGGTACGTCACCAAGCTTTGGAGATATTTAAAACAAAAAGACCCAAAAATGATCACTGCACCCGAGGAGCACCCACGCTCCTGGGGGAGAGACTGTGCAAAACATTTTGTATGTGGACGATCCCTACATCCTGAACGTTCACGTGGAGGGCCATCGCCAAGGGGCGAGGGGACGGGAAAGGACACCATCCGAGGCAAATCATAGCAGAAGTTTGAAGGGAGCCAGTAGATGGAGGTAAGGGTCCGCCGATGCAAAGGCATGGAGTTGGGAGATGTCATGTGCCAAGAAAAGCAAGGAAGCCGGTGTAGTTGCATTACGGAATGCATGGAGGAGAGCACTGCGTGAAGACTCACAAGGGTGGTGGAGATTGAGGACACCTCTCTCCACAGCCAGCCTCTTTCCTGAAGGTCAGCTTCATCCTTCAATAACGTATGTCCAAAAACAGGGGGGCTCAAGTTGATCCATCCCTTGACACTTGGGGTCCAACTATTCCCTGAGCCCAGAGAATTGAGGATCATCACAGCAAGTGGTTTGGAAATCTCCACAGCTGGAAGTCGGGCCTGACAGGGGGTCCTTCCTGCCATGCATCTGGAGGAGTGTGACGGGAGGCCAGGGCTTTCTAATGTCCTTGGCTGAGTCCCACGGCCACACTGCCTGAGCACCAGGGAGTGAGGAGACCCTGAGAACTGGAAACATTAGCTCACCTAATGAACATCTGTGGGAGACCTACAGAGGGTACCCTACTGTGGGTGACTCTAGCAGGAGGTGTTAACAGGTGTGTGTCTATACATGCATGTGCACACATGTACATATATGTGTATAGATATGTGTATTGTGCATAAACACACACATATATATATACACGTATGTGCACATACACACATTTCAGTATAACTGGTTTCCTTTGTAATCCTCTGCATTTGATTTTCTGCATTTTTTTTTGCTTTTAAGCAATTGGGGTTAAGTGACTTGCCCAGGGTCACACAGCTAGTAAGTGTCAGGTGTTTGGTCTGAGGCCATATTTGAACTCAAGTCCTCCTGACTTCAGGGCCGGTGCTCTATCCACTGCACCACCTAGCTGCCCCTGATTTTCTGCATTTAACAACACTTTTCAGATCATGCCAGATCACCAAAAGTGTCCATAACTCACCAAAGTCTGCCTCTGAACCACTGCCCTCTTGGCTCATGTGTTGCAATGGAAGCTCCTCGAGTGTGTAAGGGTTGATACATTCTTGCTCTTTGACCCCCTAGAACTTAGCACCCAGTAGGAGCTTTAAAAAATGCTTGTGGAGTTTTTCAGTTTGGGAGGTTGACCACGTCCTTCACAGCATCAGGCCATGGTGCATGGGTCCCTGGTGCATTTGGTCTCTTTCTGGCCAGGCTGGCGAGCCTCGCAGATCTCTCAGCACAGCTCCCCAGGCCCAGTATTCGAGAGAATTTATTCTTACTCCTTATCACCCCTAGAGTAGGTAATTTTCTAAGAAACAGAAGAAAGGG